ATAATTACTACGAAAACACGATTCAATTTATGATTTATTATTATTATTATATAATTATATGAATATTTGAACAGTAAATACAGTTTTGATTTGATTTCACTGTAAATTGGATTTTTGATGACTTTTTTTGTTTAATCTATAGTTTAAAACCGCTGATCAATACTATTGTAATACGGATTACATATTTGCAGATAATTGCCTTTCCGTTGATAATCTATTTTTCAAATTAATTAATGTTTTTGTTTTTTCTCTCAAACTTTCTGTCCGTCTCTCACACTCTCGTCAACGAAATCAACAGATTTTTAATGAAGGTATGGCCGAGATATTGCGCGACACCGGGCGATACAACTGTGTGTTTGCGGTGAACGGCGTTTGGAAAGCACTGCTCGAGTCCATGGGATTTGACGTCAAACTTATGGAAAGTGTGGTCTTTAATGATGCCATAAAGGACTCGCCGGACAGCAGTCTAATGGACCCCAAAAATACAAAAACATTTGCTAAGCCTCTGGAACCGACCTCTCGTATGAATACATTGTTTTTGAAGTATTTTGTGAAAGAAGCCAAAGAAACGGATCCATACGTGAAGACTATTATTGGGGACCTGAAGCCAGACCTTATAATATCGGATCATTTAATCAGTTATCCATCGATTGTGAAATCAGGTATACCCTGGATATTCAGTTGGAATGATAGCGCGTTATCACTGGATTTGGGTTATCCTGATAAACGGCTACCACCATCCTATTTAGGTATTAATTTTATTTTTAAATATAGTTTTAAACATTATTTTATGGTTTTAAGGTATTCGGACAAATAGTGAGACAAAAGTGGAGGAGAAATACAGACAACAAGTGCGGGAAAGATGTCGTGAAATGTGGTATAAATATAGATATATAGAGATAAACTCACGGCTATAGGATGTCCACCACTATATTAGTTCCACTAGTGGGGTCCATCCCCTTATGCTAACTTCTATATGATACCTAAGAAACTGGATTATACGGATGTCAGACCACTTCCCGACACTTTCCATGCATTTGATTGTTTCAAACGCTGTGGAAATGGAGATTTGATTGAAATACCAGATAATCTTAAGAATAAGTCCTGGAAACTGATTTTACTGTCATTTGATATGTTTGTGTCCAGAGATGTAGAGCTCATGAAGAGATTGGTTGCGATTTTGTCCAAATCTAAGCACCGGTTCATTGTCTCCAAAGGTGTCAATCATAATGAATACGAATTGGCGGACAATATGTGGGGCGAGAGGTCTGTCCCACAGATCAAAGTGTTGCCAATCGTGGATCTGGTCGTAACACATGCCGGCAATAATACAGTGACGGAAACCATGTATTTCGGGAAACCTATGATAGTTTTGCCCCTATTTTTCGATCAGTTCGATAGCGCACAGAGTTATGGGAAAAGGGTTTGGGATTAGACTCGACCCATGCGTGTGCTGTGAACGCGAGTTATTGGATTCAATCGGAAGGCTATTAAACGATCAAATATTGACTCAAAAGTTGGCAAAAGTATCGCAAAGAATTTACAGCGAGAAAAATTCCGATAAATTTCTGCAACAAGTGGAAAGTCTAGTCAAATGAAAAGTCATATACAATTAATGTAATTAAGTCATGTATAATGTAAATATAATTATAACTAATAAATGCATTGTTAACATGTTTAATAATAATAAAATAAAATAGCTATTGTGTAGTCATAACCCCATAGTAACTACAGTATCTATACCTGTATAGATACAAGCGTATCAGCGTATACACACAAAATCCCGAAAAACGAAATCCCGAAAATTTTAAAATCAATATAAATAATTATTTTTACTCTAGGTAATGTAAAATTTATTGATATTATTAAATTAATTATTTAATAGCTAGTTATTGTTATATTAGTAAATAATTATCTCATCAAATATTCAATATTGTAATTATTGGCTGAATTTTACTAGTGTATAACCAGTGTATAATAACTAGTCAAGTAAAACTAAATAATATTAATGAATTTTACATTAACTAAAGTAAAAATAATTATTTATATAGATTTGATAATTTTCGGGATTTCGATGTACTTCCCGTCTGTAATAACCATAAATTTTGTCACATGCTATACACTAAAGAGATCTTTCGGGGGAAACATAAAGTGAATGGAAAACAGAAGTTTGTATTTATTAGCTATAAATTCAAACCAATAAATCAAATACTTATTGATATATAAAACTGCAATTCAAAAACATAATGTCATAAATAATAAAACAAATACTACTGTATAATAAGGGCATTAATATAAAAGTTATACAAGCTATATAAGCTAAAAGTTATATACTGTAGCTATGGCAGAGATACTGCGAGAGACGGGTCGATACAACTGTGTGTTTGCGATGAACACAGTTTGGAAAGCACTGCTCGAGTCCATTGGGTTTGATGTGAAACACCTTCAGAGTGTGGACTGGACTGAAGCCGTGAAGGACTCGCCGGACAGTAGCCTAACTGACCCGCAAAATACCGGAGCTTTTGCTAACATAACACCTCTCGAAACGGCTATTCGTATGAATGGATTGCTATTGAGATATGTTTTAAAAGAAGCCAAAGAAACGGATCCATACGTGAAGACTATTATTGCGGACGTGAGGCCAGACATTATCATCACTGATCACGCGCTCAATTATCCATCTATACTGGCATCAGGTATACCCTGGGTATTCAGTTGGAATGATAGTGCATTATCACTGCAAATGGGTTACCCTGGTACACAACTGCCACCACCATATTTAGGTATTAATTTGAGAAAATAATATAATTTAAATATATTTATCGTTTATAAGGATTGCCGACAAATACTGAGAGAGAAGTGAAGGAGAAATATAAACAACTTTGGGAATCAAACACTGAATTGTGGTATAGATTTAGGGATCAAATCTAGGCTATAGGATGTCCACCACTATATGAGTTCCAGTACTGGAGTCCATCCCCATACGCTAACTTCTATTTGGCCCCTAAGGAACTGGATTATACGGACATCAGACCACTTCCCGACACTTTCCATGCATTCGATTGTTTTAAACGCAGTGGAAATGAAGACACTTTTAAATACCAGAAATCTTAAGAATAGGTCCGGAAAACTGATTTACCTTTCATTTGATATGTTTCAGAGATATCAGAGATGTAGAGCTTATGAAGAGATTGGTTGCGATTTTGTCCAAATCCAAGCACCGGTTCATTGTCTCCAAAGGTGTCAAACATAGAAAATCAATACTAATTTTATTAATTATCGCTTTTATTCAAAGTTTTATGTAAATAAAATTAGTTAAAACTTCATTAATAAAAATCTGTTATATTTATTACTTTAAAATTAAGCAAAAATATTATTTGTTATTAATTTTTGCATAAAAATATACATATAGAAATATTCAGACATTTAGCTATGCCTTAAAAACACATATTTTTAACTTCTTAAATGTGGATAAAAAGTCATCAAAAATCCAATTTACAGTGAAATCAAATCAAAACTGTATTTACTGTTCAAATATTCATATAATTATATAATAATAATAATAAATCATAAATTGAATCGTGTTTTCGTAGTAATTATAATAATAATAATAATTAATTAATTATAATATTAAGACATACAGAGAGAGTGTGTGAGTGAGTGGACGGCGTGTGTGAGTGGAGACACCGTATTGTATGCATCGGTCGAGACGGGAGAGTCGTATAAAACAATGGGACAGACAGTGGACAGGGATATGGGGGAACGGTATGTAATAATAAAAACA